ATTTGCTGCTCTTTGGAGCATTGGTTTGGCATGAATAAGTATGGGCCTGCGATCATTTAACGTTAATATTCCTCTCTATGAGCAGGGACTTGTCACACAACCAGTTATCAGGGAATCTTCCAAGAGGACTCAGCAGTTTGCAAGAGCTGCTCGTGCTGTAAGAGTGTTTCTAGTTAGAGAACTTCTGGTAGCAGCAATAGTCCTTCCACGGTCAATCTGAGTCAAGTGTTCGTGCTTTCTTGCACGCTTCAACTCTCTCTCTCCCATGCCGCATTCCCCTTCTTTCTCTCCCATACGGCAGCTCTCTAAAGAGCAATTACCTGTACGGGGGTGCGCTGCCCACCGCCATGTGTGCCTCCTCCTCATCCTCCTCGGCGCTCGCCCTTTCTCTGCACGCCAACTGCTTCCCCTCTGACGCCGTCCCCTGCGCCCTCCCCCACGCCCAGCGCCCCCTCCTCCAATGCTCCGCCTTCTGCGGCCTCTCTCCTACCTCCTCCCCGCCCTGTGCCGGCCGCGGCTACTGCTTCTGGGAGGGGGGGGAGGCCGCAGGCACTGCCACGTGTGCATGCGGGCCAAACTTTTAGACAGGCAGCACTCCGGGGAGCTGCGAATTCATTCTCTCAAATTCAGAATGTAATGCTAGGCTCGAAAGGGAATGGTGCTGCTTCTCATCTGATGCAAAGTCATACCAATCGGCTTGTGTCTTGCAGATTCTCTAGCCCCCTCAAAAGTAATGTTAACTTTTTTCACGTGCTTGCTCCCTTTCTGCCCGACACACAGGGGCAGCACTGGAAGCACTGACGAAAGCCTGGCGAGGGTATGATGGGAAAGGCACGTGGAGGCGAGAAGGCAAATGTGCCGAGATGAAGCACATCACTTGTGATGATGACAACTATATCGTTGGCCTGTAAGGGGATTGGCAGAGATGGTTGTTACACCACCAGTCTGCAATGTGTGATGCATGGAATCAATCAAGTTGTAACACAAGGCTGGGTGCTTACCTGCATCCACACCACATGGCTGAAAAAGGGTTTCAAGCTATGTGACTGTACAAGTATTTGAATGTGCAGAAATGTCGCTCGTATTAACTACACTGTCGTTGGCCCGCTCCTGATGGTATTCTGACATGCTGCCCATTTTGCACAGGGAGGTGTACGGAGCACGAGTTTCAGGCAGCATACCATCGCTAATCAGTAATCTTGTCCATCTGACCAAATTGTAAGGCCACATCCATCCACCTGCCACCACTCCATGCAACAAATCCCACCTGAAAGCACCACAGTCATCTGATCTGACTATACAGCCCTCCTCCTGTTAAACCCTTGCCTTCCAACCTCGACTGTCTGTAGGGACCTTACCAGGAATCGTTTCAGTGGCACCGTTCCATCAACTATCGGACAGCTTACCAATTTGGTCTACTTGTCGCACCGCGCCATGTTATCGAATGAGTCATGAGTGCGATGCTAGCTCGATGTCTGCCTGGTAATTGCATCCCTGCCTCAATGCTCATTCAACCGTCCTCTTGAAAACAAAACAGTATACCAGGTCCAAGCACCTCAAGGCGCCAGGTTTAATGAGGCGCATTTATGACCGTTCATGCCATCTGCTGCCTGTGATCCTGCTGGCATTCCAATGCATGTGATGCTGTACGATTTGGTGTTTGCTTGTCGCAGGAGTTTGCCATTCAACTCGTTCACAGGCGACCTTCCCAAGGCCATCTCAATGCTACGACGACTGCATACCTTGTAAGACAACTTGTTCCATTACAATATCAGTCATGGAAAGAAGGTTGGAGAACAGAAGGCAGATGGACTGGAGGGTTGTCAGGAGTGGCACAGTGTGTGGATGTCAGGAGCGGGCAGGGCATAGTGTGGGTCTAGTTAGCACATGCAGAGTACAGAGCAGAGAAGAGTGCAGAAAAGAGGCTTCCATTTTTCCATAACTTGTGCACTCATAGTGTGTACGAATGAAAGGACCTGGAAGCAGAGTTTCGTACAGGTGGCGTGCAGAATGCAGATGGAATGGTGGGATGTGTGATGGAGGTGTGTTGACATTGCTGCTTTGTTGACTGTAAAATCTTCGTAGAGACTCATGTTAAGCAGCTGGTGGTTCCTTACAGGCTGTACCATGAAAATTGTTCTTCTTCTGGTGCACGGATTTCTTAGAATTCTCAATAATCACAAGCAAAACGTGGATTGTCTGCTGGCTGTGCAGGGATCTCGGTGCAAACGCGTTTACTGGCCAGATCCCACAAGGAGTCTGTAACATGACACAGGCAGTCTCTGTGTGAGTGCAGTTCGTCCATGCTTTCAGATTCATTCTTCTCCAGTTTAAGTGTTCATGGGAGTCAAGTCAAACTTCGGCCGACTTTGCCGTGACTGCTGAACACCATGCCTGCCTGCCCACTCCTGTCCTTGTATGGATCTGACTTCTGGAACAACTGCCAATTGCCTTGTTTTCGCAACCCTTCTAGTAGATAGCGCAATTAAACATGCGTTCGTGACAGATTAAAACACCTTTCGTGCCATTTATGTGCCAACAACTGACATTTCCTGTCTATTCATAATGATTTGGCACTTCTATTCTGCACCGTCTCCACCTCAACGTTCTTCTTGTTGTGCACCGTCTTTTCCATTCCCATGCGCCCACCCGGTTAATTAAGTTGCTGTGGGACACTCCTTATGCTTCACACAACACGCCAGTCAACCGGCTCCTCAATCTCTCTAACGTTATTTTCTGTATGCTAGTCTTCTCGCAGAGAACAGCTTCTCTGGGCCTGTTCCTGACTGCATCTCAAAATTGACAAACCTTGTTATGTTGTAAGTCCAAGATTCTTTCAGTCTAGAAAGGCATAGGATTACATACAGTGGTCCACGTTTCTAGTCAGTCCGTATTTGCATCAAGGCTTAGGACGCATTGGGATAACACCAGAATGGCAATCTTGTGGTGCCGCGATTGTGGCAGTATAGTGTCGTCTGTTTCCGAGGTTTTCTGTTTCTGCTGTTTTTTTTCTCTACAGCGCTCTCATGCTTCATGATGCCGACGACAGATGATGGTTGGTTTGTTTTTAGCTCAGTATAGCTGCGTTTACAAATGTTATTGACGTTTCATTGTTCATGAAAACGAGAACCTGAGGTTGATAAAAAAAACGAGAACCTGTTACGCACGATCCCCGCGTGTCCCGCCGAACTGCCGGCTTGTGTCCACGCATGTTCAATGGCTATTCTGCACTGCAGGGCTCTGCAGCACAACCACTTATCTGGGCAGGTACCCTCCTCTCTTAATCCGCTCAAACAACTTCAACTTCTGTAAGTTGTAACTTAAAGTTGTACGCTGAAAATCTAGTGTCTGTGTGCTGTAATATGTACACTTTTACTCCTCTAAAACGCGTTTGCCTCATTTCTTGTAGCTTCACACACTTGCCTTCATCCCTTGGAAAGCCAGGGGATTGAAGGCACTTGGCAACACGGTTAAAATCCCCTGGCTTCTAAAAAACCCATGTTTTGTCTTGAAGCAGTTTGCCTCAATGTTAAAATCCCTTTGTCCAGTAAAGTGAAAGTATACCCGTGACGTGAATCAGTTTATTCATGCTAGTGATTGTTGAGTGTGCAGTCTAAAAGGCAGGAGAATAGGCTGGCCGGCAGCCAAGGTTTAGAAGCATGAACCAATATGCCAGCACCACTGCACTATAACCATCTAGCAAATGGCGGCACAATTGTATGGTTGATTTGGGACGCTGGTTTGATTGCAGATTGTGCAAAAGGCAAGGCATTCATGCACGTCCATATACGTCATTTGTTGAAGAAACTGGATGAACACTCATGTATGGATGCGTGCATGCCAATCATGCATGCCCCTGTGCATGAATGGCAAAGCAGAGACCTAAGTTACAACCGGTTCTCAGGAAGCATTCCTTCTACTATAAGTTTGCTGACTTCTCTCACCAGAATGTAAGTGCCTCTCACCAGCATGTAAGTAAGTGTTCCCTTGCGTCACGTTTAAAACATCTTCTACTGACCGAAGTCGTGGAAAGTTCATCATGTGAATGATAGACAATGAACTTTGTGCATCCCACTCGCCATGTGTATTCATGTGTATTGTGAAAATGCTGGTGAGGCCATTCCAGATCAGTAATGTGGATAATGAGGGGTTTTCAACGTATTAATTTCAAGTGCAAGAAATTTATATAGCATACAGCATAGGCTGTGGTGGCTTCTCCCGGATTAACCAGCCAAACCCCTGCCTTGCACCGCATCCCCCCTGCTCTCTCCACCACACACACACAGCCGACTGAACAACAATCTGCTCACTGGAGCGCTGGTCCCACTGCGAAGCAACATTGTTTTCACTGCAAGCGCAAATTACCTCTCCGTATATTCCTCTGAGCCTAAGTCCTGCAAACCGGACCTGTACCAAGACAACTGCTTCACCTTCAAGGGGAGCTCCACGAAAAAGGCTTCCCCATGCTCCAAGATCCGCCAGCGGCCCATGAGTGAATGTGCCCCATTCTGCGGGCTTACCAGAAAATTCCCTCCATGTGGGGGGTTTGGCACGTGCTTTCTCAAAGGGGCTGCTGAAACCCCTGTGTGTGATTGTAATGAGGGGTACATCACAGGAGAGTCTTTGAGCACCTGTATCCCTGAAGGTAAAGAAGGTTGCATGCATGTCATGACTCCCAAATTGACTTACGGGTGAAGTGAGAAACGATGGGTGCCATGTTTCCAGATTTCCATAAGAGTCCGACATATGGATGGCACGCCACTCAAATCTCGAGTGTAGAGGCTATCATGATTCAATCATAGACATGAGCATTTTACGAGTCGGGTCTTACTCAGCTTGGTTTGGCCTGCCTCGAGTATCCACTCGGCTTGTTTGTTCATGTCTGAACTATCTCTGCTTGACACACTTGCAGCATGTGCTTATGCTCATATCGCTGCTTCATGCGTTCTTATTTCCACAATCATTTCACCCTATTATGTCTCATGGAAATGCTCCCCCACATGGCAGGGAAAAGCTACCCCCGATTCGCCACACTGATCCAGGCCATGGTCACCCTCACCAACCCCACTGCACCGTCTCGTGGGACCTTCTTCCCCAAAACACCCTTGAAGCTCTTCTCTTTCAACACCGTCCGGGATGGCTGTGGCCTTGAGTTTTACTTCAAAGCCAGTTTTTCCTTCATAATGATTCCAAAGTTCGGTCGCAAGGGCGGCAACGGGCTTGCGTTTGTTGTTTCCGCGACGAGCAAGGTTGCCACTGGCGTCACCAGCGGTGTGGGTTATGCAGGCATGGATCGGCGCAGCATGGCAGTGGAGTTTGACACGTGGCAGGATAAGGAGAACCGGGACACGAGCGCGAATCATGTCGGCATCAACCTGAAGGGCGGGCCTTTTTCCAACGTGACTGCCAACGTCTCAACCCCTCTGAACAATGGAAGGATGTATTTTGCATGGGTGGAATATTTTCCCGCGGAGGCAGAGAGCTTGAAGGTGTTTCTCGCATCGGCGTTCAGTGCTCGCCCGGACGAGCCTGTGCTGTCCATGAACCTCTCTCTGTGTGACGTCCTGAAGCCTACGCGAGCGTTATCGTCGTTCTACTTTGGCTTTGTGGCCGCGACACGGGTGCATGCGCAGAAACATGTTGTCGCCCTGGCATCCGTTGAAACAGGCAAGCTTGCTTCAGCGGCTAGGGAAAGCCATGCATGGTTGCCTTCTCGTCCTGAGTTTCAGCATGCCACTACTCACAAGCACAGAAAGGCAGCAAGGCGGGATCATGAAATTCAGGAAACCCCACCATATCTTCCACGTCACATATATTGTTTTCAGTCTCGATCTCAAATGCCTTTCTTCTCTGTGTATGCCTTGTGTTTCATGGCAGGCTACGCTGAGCCCCCACCGCTTCCAGATGAAAGAAGTAAGTTTTGCAGAATAGCACCATTCCGGCTGATAGTTCTTAGTTCTTACAGTAGGAACTGCATGGTTGCAAAAGCCCAAACTTGCAACCCAAGAAACCTGACGGTGCATAACAAGCAAGGTCATCACCTTTGCAGCAGCACTAGTGTATGGTAGGCATGGGCGAGAACCGAATCAGAGTCGGTTCAGTTCTTGCTCCCTCAAACCCGAACCGATCCAACCTGAACCAAAACTGGATCGGTTCCAGGTTGTGATTGTGCCGGAACGTTTTCCTACCATTATTGAACGGACTGGTGCTGATTTCAGATTTGAACTGAACCAAAGGCGGTTCAGCTCAAAATGGTCTGGTTCGATCCGTTCAGAACCTTCATTGGTTTTCAACCTTTGTGGCAGGGGGTTGGTTTAACTATCAAACTCTACTGTTATTCCTGACATGAAAATGATGTACCTTGAAAATGTACTCAAACAATTTTATTATTTTCTACCGTATATTTGGGCCCGCGCGGCCCAAGGCGTGCAGGTTTTGCCCCGTGGGTTTACGCGCCGAACTAGCCGCGGTCCGACGCAATTCGACTCGGCGCGGGACCGAACCAGATGAACTGGCCAAACTGATACGTGTCGTACCAGAACTGTTTCGTTTCGGACCACGAGGCATAACTCCCCTCCCCTCCGAGTGAACCAGTTCCCCACTGGACCAGGGTTTGGTACCGTGCTCATGCCTAGTGCATGGCACAAGATCCAGCTCGCTGAAAGCACGTTGTAAACTACCAAACCGCATGGCACCCTTTTTGTTGTCACATTCCGTCACCCCTCACTCACCCACACCCCACCCACGCCCCCTGCAGGCTGCTGCGGCTCCCTGCCTGCAGCTACCGAACTGGATGTTAATGTATGTCGTTCTGCTGCATTCAATCCACCCCATCGTTTCCAACCCCTCGCTCCCACGCCCCCTGCTGCTGCGCCCTGCCTGCCTGCAGCCACAGGCCTGAACGTGGATGTGGAGATGTTCCGTCCCAACACGACGAGCCCCTTCACACGCTACGTGAGCGCGGGGTACGGCGGCGCGCAGGATGAGCAGGACTCATGGCGAATGCCCTCCTACTCCACGTGGACCGTCGACCCCCTCTGGCTTCCTGAAGACCAGGGCTCTTCCTGTGGTGAGACTTGGTGAAATTTGAGTCGAGTCAACAGGTTAATGCGGAGAGATATGTGGCTGCTGTGGCCTCTAAGTGACCTTGTCCCCGGCTCGTCTCCACCACTCTCCCTCCGCACGCATGCAGAGGGTTGCTGGGCGTATGCGGTGGTGGCGAGCATAGAGGCAGCATACGGCATTGCGAGTAACAGCATCAAGTCATTCCCATCGCTCTCCATCGACTCACTTTACCAACTTATGGAGCTAAAAGGCTGCACCAGCGGCTCTCCCACCAGGGCCTTTGAGGAACTCGTCAAGGCTGCCTTGAAGGGTGGCGGCCTCAGTGGGACCTCAACCAATGGCCCCCCCTCCTCCTCCTCCTTCTCCTCTTTCTCATCTTCCTCTTCCTCCTCATCTCTCTACTGCCCTGCGTCCCTGACATCATCTGCAGCAGCACCGCACCCTCCTTTTCTTGAAGAAACTGCTCTCGCCTCACCATCACCACCACCACCACCAGTATGCACTCGTTCTCTTCCTTTCCATCTCTGCTGACATGCTCCTCACCCCTAGCATTGCATTCTTCGCCCCTAGCCTTGCATTGCTAGCATGAGCGAGATGGTATAACCATGCAAACACCATCGTTGTGCGTATCTGTGCATGGCATATGCATGTGCATGAGCATGTGTGTTTGCATGTGAATGCAAAATGTGAATGTAAATGTGAATGTGATTGTGAATATGCACGTCCTATGCATGTGCATGTGCATGACCATGTCAACGTGCATGTGAACGTGAATGAGAACGTGCATTTGAATGTAAATGTGCGTGCGGCATGTGGATGCAGGGAAGGTTCCTCGTGCAAGGGTTTGAGAGAACAGCGTTCAAGGGCTACTTTGGGCTCATGCTGGCAGTGTGGCGCCAGCCCGTTGTGGTCCACATTGAGGCCAGTGCTGCTTCCTTCATCTCCTACGATGGGGTACGCCTGATATGAATTCGTTTTGCCACCTGCAATAACTATGTATGAACTGCATTACATTTCATTGCCTACAATGGGGTAAAACAATGCTATCGATTTTATCCATCAACCACAAACAAACCAAGGGCGAATCGGCCTGAGTTTGGCATACCAAATCCACTGTGCTATTTGTCTGATTAACCAGACGACACGGCTTATTGATCCTATCAATCAAGAACGCTAAGCTGAAAGTTATGCTGGGCATTCAAGAAGCTTTTGAGAGTATGATCACAATGTGCTGTGCGCCCCTTGCTGCCATCTTTTCCTTGCCAACTTTGCACACACCTTCAACCTGTGCCCCTTGTGCCTTGGCCTCTGTGCTGGGGGGTATGCATGCAGACCATCAAGTACCAGGATCCGGGGTGCTACACAGGCAACCTCAACCACGTTGTACTCGTTACAGGCTTCCTCATTGCCGGCACCGATACCAGCCGCCCGACCATCCCCCCGCCCTTTTGGAAGATCTGCAACTCGTGGGGCACGCAGTGGGGGGCGAGCGGGTACATGTACATGGGGATAGAGCCTGCGGATGGCATCTGCGGCATCAATGTGCTGCCCGGCATCTACCCTGTCATCCGAAGTGAGTTGCTGAGACACCTCAGATTAGACCATCCGTCTATACCCTGTGGGAAAATGCACGCACATTAGCTTTTCAACAGGCTTATGAGCTCGTGTTTCCGCATGGCATCGCTTGCGTACGTGAGCTCGTCATTATGCCTGCTAGTCATCCTCGCTGTGCATAACTCTGACGATGCCTAATACTAACCCCTAGTGCTCAGATCCTCAGAAGCGAATTTGCCGATGCCTGATAGTAACCCTTGGTGCTAGTGTCTGCTCATTTGTCGTGTCAGCCCCTCGTCTCTTCCCCTCTGCCACATCAGTACCCAACGACCCTTGCATGATCAAGGCGTACAGATTCCGCGACGATGCAGCGTCGGTAATGAACCCCTGTGGCTCATTCACGTGCCTTGAGAACGGCACCTCTAACAACTGCCTCTGCAAGCCTCCCTTTGTTGAGGCCCCCAACGGCGATGGCTCTCGCTCCTGTGTCTATGGTGGGTGCCTCTCGCTCGCTCCTCTCGCTCATAAGCTCTGCTATTTTCTGCTTTAAAATATCGGCACTTCAAAACGGCCGAGAAAATGTGGGTGATTCTCAGACCCTCATGCGACTTTTGTGCCCTAGGAATCCGTCCCTCCCTCAAAAGGTCCGGAATAAGGTAGTTTGGTCATTTGTGGTGTGAGGCTTTATCTTTCCGTGCGTGCCTACTAGAAGAATGTGTAAAGCTTGGCCCGATGTTTATTAACTTGACCCCGACTCATACAAACGTTGCATTGCAAGTTATTTTGCGAGATTACTTAGATATAACATGGACTTTATAAGTGCTAGGTCTGGTACCCGGCGGGAGTGTCAAATGTCGCGGTAAATTTCTCGTGTAATCATTAAGCAAGAAAAATGTATGTGAGGAAAAACAACTCTCAATGCAAAAGTCAAGTAAAAATTCCGTTTTTTTTTTTTATTCGTCCAGTTTTACCCGACTCGCGCTTAAAACTCAGTTGAGTCAAAAAGACAGAGGAAGAAAGCACTTCAAACTTGTTCCAGCCGAGTAAAACAAATTAGTTGTGTTTTTTTAACGATTCATGCCCGGCCCCACTCGCGCACCTGCCTGACTGCCCTGTCCGTCTGCTCGCATGTGGCAGTGGATGTGTGTAGCGGCAGCACGTGGAACCCGTGTGAGGTGGGGTCATGCATCAACGATGGCAAGGGCTCGTACACCTGTGTGTGCCCGCCCACACACGCTCTCGACACCACTGTTGATGGCTTCCCCACCTGCTCTAGAGGTGGGTTGTCTTCAATGGGGCATTCCTGCATATGTACCCTGAATGTGTCATTTTTTCAGAGCTGCCGTTTCCACAAGAAAGGACCATGTCGGTTTTGACATGTCGCAACTCATTTCTTCCTTTTAATCCACATGTTTTTTTCCCTTCTTGAACCCACTCGCCACTTATAACCTGCCGCTGTACATGGCACGAAACGTTTCTTTGGAAAATCTCCTTCTCGCTTCAAGCAACCCTGTCCGTACCTGTCTTCCTCCCTGCCTCCCTCCCTCCCGGCCTGCTTTCCGCCCTGCTTCCCATTGGGGGCAGGTTGGGGAATTGCATCCACACTGATGGTGAATGGCAGCAACTGGTGGTGCGCCGACGTGCACTACCTCTTTGGACACACACTCGAGGAATTCCTTGTCAATAACACGGTGCCGTATTTCCATGCATTTGTGGAATTCCTTCCCTCTATATGACTCTGAGTTGCATTCCTCACCATACTGCCATGCAGTTCCCTGCTACGTACCTTATCACCAAGTGCTGCTTGATTTAGATGCACCAACCAACAAGTCCAGTCCCCGTTCGTGCTTACAAATGTGAAGGAAGTTGAACATTGGTAGCAGCAGAGTAACCCTAGGGCCAGCACCACGCAAGCTGCACAAGTACAGATATGGTAATATCAGTAATGTGCTCAACTGTTTTTGCAAATGCAGGATGTTGACTGCTCGAAGCCCCTTGAAAAGATAGAATTGAACACGACAAAGACAAATCTGACTGCATGCTCTGCTTATTACTTCATTCTGCCGGTGAGTGTTGCACTTAACTCATAACTTCTCTATTGCTTTTTGTTCACAACTGCTTTTCTGCTCCTAATTCATTACTGCTTGCCCTGCTGCTCTTGATTCACAGCTGATCTACTGCTCTTGACTTACAATTTCTCTGCTGCTCCTGCTGCTATCGCAATCCCGCCTCTTCTCCACCAGGGCGACACCTGCCTCTCCGTTGAGAAGTTCCTGAAATTGTCGGAAGGCTCTTTGGAGGAACTAAACCGAGGCCTCGACTGCTCCTTGTTTCCCAATGTATCCCGCTCCCTTTGCGTCGAGCGCGATGCGAGAGCTGTGAATGCTGTCCCCAGCTGTCTACTGACGGCCTTCATGAAGAGCAAGGAGAGCTGCCAGCAGCTTGTAAAGGGCTCCTTGAGTGGCCTTTCCATGGTTGAGCTCTACCGTATAAACCCTGGGCTAGTGTGCGGCGATCCTGTGAATTCAAAGGACGCTGCGAGTGGAACGATGCGAGTGCAGGTGAGACCATCGATGCCTGCGATTCTGGAATTTTGTATTCGTGAGGTATGAGGCAAGGGAATGGTGGTGATGCTGAGCTGATGGTGGTGAATCAGAGTTGGTGCATGGTGGTGAGGTGTAGTGCTGGTTGGGGCATTCGCTCTTTTTAGCAAATGAATCACACTCCTGTTTGGCTATTTGTTTGTTTTTCTTCTCTTCTATTCATTTTCACAGATGATTCACACTCCTGTTTCGCTATTGTTTGTTTTTCTTCTCTTTTATTCATTGGCTGCAGATTTGTGTAAAAGCAGAGTACCTGGAATACTCACTTGGAGGATGCACCAAAGGCAAACCAAAGTTCTTCAAGGCCAGCACACCGTGCGTTACCATCTATGCCAAGGAGTTCAAGCGTAATCAGACACAATTTCAAGAGTATGACCAGCCATGTGCAGGCAATATAGGTGGAAAGGATCTCGCACAAGTGCGTATATGTGTACCCTAATGAAATTCCTGAGCTGTTACCGTAAAAGCCTGTGCTAGCCACTGATGGCAAATCGTGAGCGTCAACCTTGGAAAAAACTTGGAATCCACGACGTATTGGTAGCATCGAAGGCGGCATGCAAGACGATTGGTTTCTCTAGAGTGAAATGATCAGTCAGTAGGAGGTTTTTGCTGGCTGGTGCATAACATGTGTTACAGGAAATCATTAAATGGACTCTTGTTTGTATGCCTCTACTTTTGTTTGGGATCATTATTTGTTAAGACAGGGTTTGCTATTCTTTGTAACTTCTGATACAATCTGAAATGACGGGTGTAGGATCGTCTCAGGTGTCAAAATGTCATTTGCTGTGTAGGCTGTAGTGGGGAACTCAACAGAGAGTACAACCCTTTTAGTGTTCCTATATGTATCCCACCTGCCTGCTAGTGCAAAACCCTCTTCTGTTCTTACCATTCTTGCCTGCTTATTTTAACATGCTATCAGAGCAGGTCGACCCTTCTTGGTCGATCCTGTGGATGGTCCCACCCTACTGGTTCCGCTGCTATTCTGTTAGTCGCGCGCCCCGGGCGCGCGACATTTTTCAGCCCGCCGCGCGCCCCGTGGTGCGCGGCGGTTTTCTGCCCCCCGCGCGCCCTGAGGCGCGCGGCGGATTTCTGCTCGGCGCGCCGCCCCCGTGGGACCCGCGCGCCGCCCCCATGGACCCGCGCGCCGCCTTCGTGCACCCGTCGCGCCGCCCCGTGGGACCCGCGCGTCGCCTCCGTGGACCCGCGAGTCGCCCTCCGTGGACCCGCGCGCTGTCCCCTCCCGTCGCCCGTCGTGGCGTCCCGGGGGCCCGCGCGCCGCCCCCTCCCGTCGCCCGTCGCGGCGCCCTGGGGGCCCGCGCGTCGCCCCCTCCCGTCGCCCGTCGCGGCGCCCTGGGGGCCCGCGCGTCGCCCCCTCTCGTCGCCCGTCGCGGCGCCCTGGGGGCCTGCGCGCCGCCCTGCCCGTCGCCCGTCGCGGCGCCCTGGGGGCCCGCGCGTCGCCCCCTCCCGTCGCCCGTCGCGGCGCCCTGGGGGCCCGCGCGCCGCCCTGCCCGTCGCCCGTCGCAGCGCTCCAGCTGCTGCCCGCGTATTTGCCCCGCGCCGCACGCGCGCCGCCTGCGTTGGGGGTATGGGGGTGGCGGGTGTGTGAGCCATCCCCTGCTCCTCCTCCTCCTCCGTCTCCCACTGCTGCAGCTGTCGCTGAAGGGGGTGGGTGTGTGGGAGCCGAGGGAGTGGCGCTAGGGGAGGGTGTGGGGGAGACTTGGGAGTGGCGCTAGGGCCGAGGGGTGTGACACGGGGGGGGGGGGGGGGGGGGACAATACGAAGGGGGTGAGGGCGGGTGGTCGCCGTGAAGTCTGCAGCTCTAGTCGCCCGTGAGACCGTTGCGTCAGAGGCCCGTGGGTCAGTTGCTCTTGCCGGCGAGCGAGCCAGTTACTCCGGTTACCCATTGCTCCGGTCCCCAGAGGGTCAGTTGCTCTTGCCAGCGAGCAGAGCCAGTTACGCCGTTTGTGACCAGTGCCAGCAGCTTTAGCGGCCGCCCACCTCCTCTCCTCTCCAGTTTCCTCCTCCTCCTCACTTGCCCTCTGCTTCTGCCACCAGTCTTTGCCTATGAACTGGTTCTGTGACTGCTTGTTCTATTGACTATACCCCACTTTGCCTATGGGGGTGTGTCAAAATGCCATTTGCTGTGTAGGCTGTAGTGGGGTACTCAACAGAGAGTACAACCCTTTTAGGGTTCCTATATGTATCCCACCTGCCTGCTAGTGCAAAACCCTCTTCTGTTCTTACCATTCTTGCCTGCTTATTCTAACATCAGAATGGTCGCAAAGTAGTGTAGCAGCGGAAGATTCCTTAGTGAGATCAGGTACGGACTTTGTCAGTAGGAGATTTGAATCCTGACAGAAGTGACTATTACGATGCGGTAGAAGGGTTTATATATGAATTCAAGGGAATACAAAAACTCCTAGCTAGCCGTGTACTCTGAGGGGGCACATTCCCCATAGGGCTAACCTACATCGGGAATGCCAACCGTGCGGTTCGGTAACAATACGTGCTACGGTAACTGTTTGAATGCATTTCCAGCGCTTGTTTCAACCGTCTTCGATATGCATCAATTCCATATCGTAACACTCCCCATCATTCCTGTAGAAGTGAAGTCTTGACGCGCTTGGTTATACCGCAGATGTTTGATTGCACAGTGCTGAAATTGCTGACGTGGCAGCTTCTTGGTGGGGAAGTCAGCTGCCATGTCACCGGTGGGGCAATGAGTCAGGATGACTTTGCCTTTGTCAACTTCGTCTTTGACGAAGAAGTAGTGGAGTGCAATGTGTTTGGTGCGGTTTACGAAACCAGGCTTGTTCGCGATCTTGATCGCGCTCTGGTTGTCGCAGTGAAGTTTGAAGTTCGCGGATGTCGCAATTTTCGCCTCCTTGAGCAGCTCTTGTAGGTAGAGTCCTTCGCGAAAAGCTGGCGTGGCGGCGATGAATTCGGC